AATGTTATTAGGACGATCAAATAGAAATGTTATGTTACATTCGAGCCGACTTTCCATTTTGCTCCTTTCTCCCCCCAAAATATGTTTTGTTGTTAATTTTGTTATCAGTTCTTTTAAAAAGCTATATTTTCAGGAATGTATTACGAGGCATAAATGAAATTATGTTTCGTTTTCAGAAAATGCAGGAGCAGTTGACAAAACAGTCACCTACACTAGAAAGGGACGCTGTATATACAAAAACAGTAAGTAGCAGCAGAACCATGGTAACCATTTATCTTGCTTAAATCTTATAATTTATTGACACGTAAGGCTGGGGCCACACGACCGTACAAAGTACGTCCGTTACAGCGGACGTAGGTGAGGACACCACACGAGCACCAATTACCGTGGCAGCTTGAAAGGATTTAGAAAAAAGAATAATAGAATTGTCTATACTTACAAATCATAATTCTGTGATGGATGCCACGATGTGCGTTACAGGGGACTTACTTTGTGCGGTCGTGTGGCCCATGACGATAATGCATCCTTAATTTCTCAATATTTTCATTGTTTACTATAATAGATACACATCTATTATCATACATTCACTATTGTTCACTGCATCCAGTTTTGATACACTGAACATGCAATTACATTTTAATTCAGTTCATTTTTGGATATTTCCATCTGAAACTTTAAGTTATTTTTCATGTTCACAAAATTCTTGACAACATCAAAATGCAATTTAAGACATTTGCCAGTTTCTCGAATATCGTCCATACTGTCCACAAAACTTTGAGTCACATGGCATATCGATATACTTCCCATATCGTCTTTGTTATCGAAAATCATCTTGTATCGATATTTTGCTGAATTTTCCCTTGGGCCTATATATTGCAGTACTCCATAGAGAGTACCGTTCTTTACTGAGAAATATCGATAGAATATTTCACCGTAAGCGAATATGATGTAGCAGTACCTTCGAGCAGGCTTGATGTCTACCAAGCCAGTCATAAATTTTCCCTTGTATTCGTATGTCCATTCTTTGTGCGAATTTGTGAGATGCTTCTTCAAGTCTTGCAGATTTCCACCCCAAGAACAGTTGACTGCAGGCACCTTGAAAATGTCAAAATAATAAGAGCACCTCAGTTGTAGAAAAACATGAGTGTGTGAACTGAAATATCCTCTTGATTGCCCTCACCCCAAAAAAGTTTGTGTCCATTACATAAAAGGGCGGATTTATAACTTGTGTTGGGCAAGGCCTTGGTCTAGGCAACACGGAGTTTTCCTCCGGGGGCTTCCCCGGTTTCTCCATTCACACACAGAAGAAGGCAATGGCAAACCACTTCTGGATCATCTGCCAAGAACGTATATGAACAGGTCCCAGTCCGAGAAAAGGATGGAAGGATCCTGTTCATATGGACCTGTCGTCAGACAGAACACTAAATAATAATAATAATAATAAGGGTACACACTGCTCTTATATTTACATCTGTCTGGAAGTTTCTTAATAGGAGGTCTAGGTTAGCTCAGTGACCTATGCTGAAAATATGTTTTTGAAATATTTGGCCATGTATAAATTTTTCATGACCCTAGAATTAAATATCACATTGAAAATTTGTCATATTGAATTTCTTGAATACATTTAGTTTAGTTTGATGACAACTAAAGGGAATTTTGGAAAACAATCTCTAGCAGCGTTTTCAGTCATGGCAGAGATGAAATATGTGTATAAAGTCGAGATGAGCATTTTTTTGCATAATTATATCTGGTTCCTTCTCAGACCTCATATAAGGATAACATAAAATTCATGTGATTTACAATGTACTTTAGTTTTGTAGCAGTTGGCAGACTTTCTATGTATGATATAGCAATAAAATGAGAAATTGTCATGGTTTATTGCAGACTTGGGTTCAAACAACTCTGGTTACTACACGCTACAGGCAGTGCTGACTCATCGTGGACGTTCCAGTTCTAGCGGTCACTATGTTGCATGGGTTCATCAGAAAGGAGACACCTGGCTGAAATGTGATGATGATCAGGTTTCCGCAGTCACTTCAGAAGACGTTCTAAAATTGTCTGGAGGCGGTAAGTATTATATTTAGTGGATTGCTTAACTTTGGTTGGGAAAGCACTTTGAAGATGGATTTGGCAGGAGATGGTCTTTGTCTGTCTGAAAGTCTTGGTTAGGAGGCTGAAGAAACCGAGATGGAAAAAGCTTTGGTTAGAACTGATGGGAATCTGCCAAAGTTGTCGACATTGTTCTGGGTAATGACACTGCAGACTTCAGCGTATCTACATATGAGTCTACGTGGTGTCATAACCCAGATCTACAACACAACAGAAATGTGCTCATTACGCGTGTGGTAACGACAACAAACAGAGATGTGTGGACGTCAGAGTGACACTGTTGTGATTGTATCTTTTTTAACAGGAGACTGGCATTGTGCTTATGTACTTCTGTATGGACCCCGAATCCTTGAAGTGGCAGAGAACGAAAATGTCGAGCCTAAGGTAGTGGAAGAGGTTGCAGCGCAATCTCCGATGGAAACTTCGTCATCCACCCATTCTCAGTAGTAATGTGTTGAGAATGAGCTAAATGAGCCTGCTTCTGGGACACTGCTGATCCTTGCGTTGTTTGGTGTTGCGCGTTTTTCATCTTTTGTTACAAGTATCAACATACATCCTCCTCTTCCCTTAACTCCACTGCCCTCCTTACCAATACTGAAAGGAAATAAAGAAGTAAATTGAAATGTTCATGTAAAAAGAATCTGAATTACAATATTAGCTTTGTTTAAGTTATTGTATGTGCTTTTATTCTTTTATACAGGAACTGTGAACAATGAATGGTTTTTCTCCACTTATGTTTCCAGATTTGAGCATGCACGATGTTTATTTCCAAATTTGTACATGCCTTTTTTGTGTTACTGAATTGTGGTTATTGTTTACTCATTTAGAAAAATGCCATTTTCTGTGAAGTATTGAATCTGAATTTTGTTGGGTTATTTAGGTTTAAGGTTTCTGCAATGATGAGAGTTCAGATGTGGAACATTCTGAACTGAATCTCTACTAAGGGCTGCTTAGGAAATAGGTGATTGTTCTAGGGTCTGTTAGATAAGCAGGGAAAGTCATGACTGCCTACTTTTATTAATTATGTGCTTATGCATTTTTGTGTTCTTCTGTTTAGCAGCAAGCATGCACAAATATGAATTTTTAAACACATTTTCTCACTTTAATTTTGTCATAAGCGAAAACAGTGAATAAGCAGCTATTTTACGTACATTTGAAACTTAACATTTATTAAAACTGGGGAAATATGAATGACATTTTCTCACTTTAATTTTGTCATAAACGAAAATAGTGAATAAGCAGCTATTTTACGTACAATTGAAACTTAACATTTATTAAAATTGGGAAATATGAATTCACACACAGTACATAATTTAAGTTCTGAATCAGGTTGAGTAGAGCATGGAAGACGGTAACTAGTTTTGGCATGTTACTGTCTTGGTCCATTGGTGTTGAGCAGCATTTTGGAGGACCCTGCTTTCTGAGTTTATTATGAATTGTTTGGGCTGGGAAAGATTGTAGTAAGAGCATAAGAAAATTGTTGGAGGAGAGCGGTAGTATAACATCCACGCTTCTATCACCGTAGTTTTAGCGGACGTCAATAGATGGTAGCGGCTCCTGTTTTAGTATCCTGTCGTCGATTTGTAAAGTTATAGATAACGTGTTACATATCTCTTGGTGTGCTCTGTATATGGAAAAGTATTTAGAATTGCTTCACCAGTGTTTAGCTTTTTGTGCCACAACAAGCAAATCGTTGTAATTTGTCGATATTAACAAATTCTAGGGTTACGGTTTGTAGATGCTGTACATTCAACCACTCCATCCAAGGAGTATGAAAGAAAATTCCATTCATGGCGAAAGTGTCGCGGTGTAGTGAGATTTGATGAGAGTGAGCGATTGAGGATGGGTGTTTATTGTATCATGGGTTGTATCCTTGTATTAAAATAGCGGATCTGTTGTTGTGATAATTGCTAATGGTGTTTTGAATTGAAAAAATACTTCATTAATAACGATGTGTGTGTCGTGTATTGTGCATATTGGACGATGAAGGTTCCAGTTTGTGGTTTGTGATACTGCATTCAGAAGACTCGAAGTCTGTTCTGAGACTAGTTCAAACTGTTAGCGAAGTGTCAAAATGGGGAATTGTTTTAGCCGTCAGAGACCCGCGACGAAAAAAGAACTGCCGTCTCTTATAAAAGATCCTAATGCACCAAGTCCTGTAAATCCTCCTATTACAGGAGTTCCCGACCCAATAGGAGGGGGTGGCAGTAGAGAACAAGGAAGAAATGGACCTATGCCACCAATTCCTGAACCTGATAGTTCTTGTAGTACAAATGCGAAAATATTTGTGGCGTTGTATGATTATGATGCAAGAACAGATGAAGATTTAAGTTTTAGAAAGGGAGAGCATTTGGAAATCTTGAATGACACTCAAGGTGATTGGTGGCTAGCAAGAAGCAAAGCTACGAAACAAGAAGGATACATACCATCAAATTATGTTGCAAAATTGAAATCCATTGAGGCAGAACCGTAAGTAGAGAATTTTATTTCATTAGTCGAATGTTGACCATTTTATGTGATAATTCTGTTTATATTTACACTTTGTAAAACAATTTTGTGGTTATGATCCATAAAAATAATGTACTTTACATAAATGGTTCAAATGTACATTTTCATGCGAGCTGCCAGACTTCGGTCATTCAATTTCGGTTTTATGTATAATTATCTGTACGCTGTTTTAACTCTCCACACTTTATTTGGTTTGGGTATTTTCTCGATGAAGTACAAAACAGTTATTATTTATGTACTGCTGTTGGTTGCGGTACATTGTGCCTCCAAACAGATTTGTGGATTGGTGTGTGGTGTTTAAATGTTTTGAATGACTATGAAAGTGTACTTTGATTCATCTAAGTTACTTGGGCTTTTCAGTTAAAATGCCTATTTGCAAACAATGCCATACAAATTTTTGAAGCTTTCAAGTAACACGTCTTTGTTGTTGAAGAAGTTTAATTCGTTTGGGTAGTAAAATAAGGCAGAAAGGGGTAGATTATATGAAAGTGAAGAGCATTCATGTTGCCTGTGGTATCAGAACCGAAAATACTGTCTGCATTTAAAAATGGAAAGTCTACATACATATGTTCGTGCTTAACACATGCTTCAGTGCTTTATCTACCATGAGGCTTACTTTAAGTCACGCATGATTTAACCCAGGTCTCTGCAATGAGATGCTAGTGTCAGGCCATCTGAGTCAAGTCTTGGTTCGCGCATTAGCCTAAGAAAATCGGTGTTAAATAAATGTGTATTTAACTATTTCAAAACTATTCACAGAGTTAAATAATAACTTTTAGCCTGTTAATGTCAATATTTTATTGTGCAGAAATGTTTTTTTTTGTATTGTATATTCAAAAAAATTTTGTTAATAGTAAAGATTGAAAAATGTTTGTGGGTGAATTGTGATAGCAAATGTGATGACTTTCTAATACAGTTTTATAATAGAATGTGGGTGGAGATAGCTCTAAGATAAAAAGTAAGCTTATCATATCTTGAGTAGACGTAGCTCAAATACCGATGAACGGTTTGACAACAGGATTTTGGAGGAACTTGCAAATCTCACTTTGCCCACATTCATATAATATTTAGGTTCTGCCCAGTTTTTCTACCCAAGAGAGACTTCAACTTCTTTTACGTCGTCGTTCCGTTACTTGAAAACTTTCGTTACCTCTGTAACTTAATGTAGATTGTGAGATTGAAGAACAGCATTTTATGATAATTTCCAGTATGAAAAGTGATTTCATAGAAGTGGTTTCCTCTGTGTGTGACTTGACTAAAGATTTCTGCTATCACTGCGTTGGAAAGTGTTTGAGGTAGTGAAGTTATAAATGGCTTCTGAAACCACACCAGTGTATTTGGGGCAAGTGATGTTTATACCAGCAGTTGAAAAGCACTCTGTCTTTATGGATATACAAACATTTCTCCAAATTTAACTGTTCTCAATAGTACATGTGTTGCTAACATAAGCAGTGGACCTGCATATAAACATGACGCTCCTAACCCCCTGAAACTGAAGATTTTGTGGCTACTGTATCTATGAAAAATAGCTTGTCGTTTGGTGTCAAGGAATTGGTGTGACTGGTGGGGGGCACTTGTTTGGCAAACCAGTGTTTAGAGGCGCAACAAAGGTTAAGTGTCTGTAATGACTCATGAGCTTTCTTCGCTTGATATTAATATGGCGATCAGACTTTGGTACAGGTTCTCGGAGTAGTTTGCAGTCACTCAGCTGATAGAGGAAGGCCCTGTATTTATGGTACCTCACGGTCCATCGCCGTCACTCAGCTGATAGAGGAAGGCCCTGGTCCATCGCTGTGTTTACGGTATTTGGATATTAAATTCAGCTACTTGAATCAGTCAGCACCTTTTTATACATTTATTGCATCCCATATCTGCCAACATAATCCAAGCAGTGTCTCTTCTTTTGAAGTTATGTTATGAAAAATTTATCATGTGTTTCTCATTTCCGCTATCCCCACATAATCTTTATTAATTTGATTACCCTAACTATATTAAGTGTCATCGTAGACTATTAAGTTTGTCATTGTGTTATTTTCCCTAATTCATACAATACTTAATAATCCTATCATCATTAAGTGACTTACAAACCAACTAAGTACAGTCTGTGAGGATACGTTATGAATGAGAGAAGTGAGTCTTCCCTGGATTAAAATTTAAAAGACAACTCTTTTTTCTTCTCCCATAAATGATAAGGAAATCATCAGTTTTGGCCTCTACCGCTATGAGAACCTCAGATATCAGTGAAAGAAATTTGTCTTTTTATCCTCCCCCCCCTTCCATCCTTAAACCCTGCATGAATACCGAAACAGCCAATCCTCACCAGTAATTTGAACCCAGGAGACGAGAAGACATTTTCATGTGCCCCTTGCACAAGGGGAATAAAGTGACTTCAGAAAGGGGAGGTTATTTCTATCCACCCAGACCATAAGCTTGTATGCACGAAACTTGTGAACAGGTTTAGATGAAATTTGGTATTGGAGGGTTTAAAGTAAAAGTTGTCTAATTTCTGACAGTGCTCACACCCGAAAGCCGAAGTCACACTTTGAACCCAAGGGAAAGAATTTGATTTGGATTTTATGTTTTCCTGATTATGGTGCTGTGTGGTCTTGTAGGTTGTTGTTAGTGTTTTGGTGGGACATGTAACCTCTGTCTTCTGGGTAAATCGACCTTGAACAATGTGTGTAGTCAGCATGATATATTTTTATGAAACTGATGTTAGGAATTTGAATCAGTATAATGAATTGAGTATTATTATTTTGAACAAAGTATTTTTTTTTTAAATATGTCATTATGACAGATACTTTAGCCTACTTTGAAGATAAAAAATAAGATAAATAATCGTATGAAAGATAAGATTTCGAAGTTCGTTGAACATACGTGAATCTAGTGTAGTCCACCCCCCACCGATTGAAAATTTAAAATAAATTCTTTGAATGCTTTTGGGTTGGAAAACCCGAAGGGTACATCAGACTTCCCGGCATGCGTTCATTTCTTACGTTGCAAAGAATGGATGACAAG